CACCTCCCCGTAGTGCTCTATCCAGCGCTGGCCACTCAGGATGTTGTGGATGCAGGACGTCACCTTGTTCCATTCAAAGTGGTCCCCGAACCTGAGAGAGACAGAGTGCGGCTGGGAGCACGTGGCGGGGCGGAGACGCCCGTGTGGCTGGAGCTGGTCATGGGCGCGTGTGGAAGGGACCCAGGAATCCCTGCATCGGCTCCACTGGGAGGGGCGGCCCCTATTTTATTTTTATCTTTTGAGACAGCATCTCAACTTGTATTCCAGGCCGCCCTGAACTCACTACACAGCCCTGGCTGGCCTCAAACTCATGGCGATCCTCCCGCTTCAGCCTCCCTAGTGCTGGGATCACAGGTGTGCGCTAGTACTCCCGGCTCCCTATTTGAGTTTTTCACAGGTGGTCTGTGAGCCGTCTGCACATCCATTCTGCTTTCTGTGTGTGCGCACACGTACTGTGCTGGCTTGGAGTTTCAACATTCCTGTGAGTCACGGTCAAAAGTTGCTAACGGCAGAGTCAGATGCCAGGGAGGAGCCCTTCCTGCTGTACTGCTCCTGGCTTCTCACCTCTCTTTACTGCAGCTGCTACAAATACAGGTGTAAAATGTGCAAACGCTTCCATCCCATCCCCGAGGCCGCGAGAGGTGACAGCCCGCACCCACCTGGGCAGGCTGACGTTGACGGTGCCCACGGGCACGATCTCCAGGGATTTGCCCCAGAACTTGTTTTTCCACTTCATGTCTGGAGCGGTGGGGGTGGACACAGAGATGAGACCAGGGTTCCGGCCCCACCCCAGCACCCTTTGCCCGACTGGAGCCCCACCTGCTGCTCACCTTGCCAGAAGACAAAGTTCTCGGACTCTGCATGGCACGCGGAGATGGGGGGATGGTGGGAGACCTGGGCACAGAACAGAGGCGCTCTCTGGAGGTGTCCCCGAGAGCCCGCGGTACCTCACTCCCTCTGTGAGCCGGGCCAGCGAGAGCTCGGGTCTCTTCCCTTCGTCCTTGGACACCCCCCCCCC